ATATATATATATATATATATATATATATATATATATATATATATATATATATATAGTTCAAGCCGATATTTGAAGGCCAAATATACATGAATACTTCATTTTTAGCTCTAAGGTGGTCATATCAGTGTGCTCCGTTATCCTGTGTGTCTTTGTGTTGCTCTATCCAGCCTCTCATCCCATGATTGCTTCAAAAACAGATCAGATCCCTGGAAGGATAAGTTGGTACAGACTGGATATAGCATAGCCTTGTTGGTTTTCTGGCTTGAATAAAATATCTGCGAAGAATCTTGCAACAACATTTATTTCTCTTCTTTTGGGGTGATTTTACATTCTGTTACACTTATTTTTATTTGAGTGATACTTGCTATTTCCCTATTGTCGTCTGTCAACCTAATTTACAAGAAAAGCTCATTTGACACTCAGCCTCTCAGAAAATAATCATTTGGTAGGAAGGGTAAATAATGTTTGCAGTTATGTGCATAAATAGCCATGTTAAAATAAAGACAGTGAAATAATAAAATGAGCTCAACTCTGTTATTTGCATTGCATCATTTATTATGCTTTTTGGGTTGCCGATATGAATTGCTAGTTGTAATATTTACAAGGGGATTGATACTGTTTATGTTGCCTTCATATTTAAGTATGAAGCAGGTCTCGAAACAATATTTGCCTAGTTTAACATAAACATGAACAGTTTTTGTAACCCAAGTCAGGTCCTCAATCTAAAAACAGCAAGTGTATGCTTAGTAACATTTTATCCATCCATGAACAGAAGAGAAAGAATCAGAACCTATTCCAAACTTTTTCTTCTGTTGCAATTTCAGTTACAAGATGCAGCCAGTTTTAACTGTTTTCTTCTAAAATAAATGAGCTTTTATTGATTATTAGGATGAAAAAAAGTCCTTAATTCCTATGCTCCACTTATCTGGAACAAACTCTCAGAAGACTGTAAAAGTTCTGAAAGCCTGAGTTCTTTTTTTAAGTCAAGTTAAAAACCCATTTGTTTAAAGCTGCCTTTGAGTGTTGCAGTTTAACAGCTAACTGGGGTATTATTACATTAAGGTTGTGATCCAACAGTTTTATTTTCTTCTCTACCAGCTTTCATCATGTTTTTTTTTTTACTTGCTTTTATCCTGCTTTTTTGTGGTTTAATTGTTTTATTTCCTTTACAGATGTTTTTATTTTTATTCTGCTTTTGTTTTTCTTCTATTTTATTATCTAAAACATGTAAAGCACTTTGGATTGTCCATGTACTGAATTGAGCTTTACAAATAAAATGTCCTTGCCTTTCTTCCAGATGTTAACATGAAATGAAAAATAACAATAAGCAAATTAGTAAAGTTTTGCACATCTTGAACACAATTTTGAAGTTGGCAGGTATGGAGCATTATTGTGCCAAAGATCAAGGACATCAGTTGGTGTCAAAGGAGAGACATTTTTAATGCCTGTCAATTTGGGAAGGTTCATAAGGGCTACTTGAAGTCTATCTTTCAACATGGAAAAAGATTATTTGCAGATAGATGGATATTTGAGTTAGTTCATCTTAAGGTCAGCCTGAACTTCAATAAAGCTGCAAAAAAGGAACTGCAACTCAGACTTCATCGGCCTTTTAGTTGGCTAAATGAAAAACCTTTACCATGTTTGCCAGATACATCCTTTAATTGTCTCCCACTAATTCAAGATAACACTGCAGGGATATCCAATCTATCAGCCAAATTCAGATTTCAAAAGCAAATCCAGGCACATTTCCATGCAAAAATGATAAAGTGTCTCCTGTGTGTTCTGGGGAAAAAAAGGATGTAAATGTCAATCATTTGTCATAACACATAAAAAAATACAATATTGCTGTTTTACTTATAAGCATTAAATCATGAATTGAAATTGGCCTGCCATACCGCAACTAAAGTCACACAAGAAAAATAAGTTATATATAGTTTACACAACTCAACATACAACGCAAAAGAAAATCACAGTTAATGTTTCACTCTGTATGAGTCCATTAACACTTTGCAAAGACTTTTTAAATGGCCCAGCGTCTGCTTGGCTGTATACTTCTGGAAAGTGGTGGTCTAAAGTTAAAAGCCAGCCAAGGTTTTTTAACACTAAGAAGTGTTGTGTAGGCAGAGAGAGTAGATGTGCTTTATCAGTGAATTCACAAGTGCCATCTGGCATTACAGTCTTATATATGTGCAGAAAGGTGCAAATGTTTATTTTACTTTCTTAGATAAAAAGTGAAACAAACTTTCATATTTAGCTTTAGTTGGTTTGGAATGACTTACATATTTTGACTAAGGTACAATGGAAATCTGTTACACATTTTTTTTAGTTTTTACTATTTCCACCTCTGCATGTTAAACTTTGTAAAAATAAAAAAACACATGTTTCTCTTAGTATTTGCAATTAATTTCCCATTATAATCTAAAAATGATTCAAATACAGAAACACCTATCCTCATTATCATTAGAAAAGAAGCAAAAAAAAATTGATCTTCACTATAAAAAACAATTTCATTTATTTGTTTGTTGAAATCCATGCTATATATAGTGTATTTTTGGAAAATACACAACTACCTAGCTGTTTACAGCAGCAGCCTGGGGTGAAACACACAATATTGGCTTTATTTGCTGGCTCTGTGTAGCTGTTAACTTCTTCGGCTGCCCATTGTTGCAGATGTTACGAGCCTCGTCCAAGCGTTACTCATTTAGGCACACGCCAAAATTCAATTACCACTAAGAGCAGAGGCCAGATATTATTATGCTTCTACCAAAGCAGATAATAGTCATGCCGTCTTTTGTTGATGTGAAAAGGGCTTTTCTTTTTTTTTTTTTTTGCATTTTAAAAACCATCCTTAAGTCATTCATATTCCTGAATCTCTGTAGTTGGGCTTATACAACCATGACATCACACTTGTAATTATTTGCCTTTGTAATATCAGGTATTCACAGTTTATGTCTATTTTGCTTAATATATATATTCATTGATACCCTGTTATGGGTTTTTTTTGACTGCATATTCAGGGTCTCTTGTAATTTCACTATACCTTGCAGCAGATTCTGTCTTACCCAATGATTATTGCAGACAACTGCTCAATTTTTGACATGCAGCAGATTATGTGCAATTCTTTTTTTTTTTTTTTTATGTATTTTAGTAAAAATAATTTTTCTTTCCATCCTCTGGTGAGACAGATCTCCCAGAGATACAGTACATGTTTCTGGAAGCCACACCAATGAAATAGTCAATATCTGAGAGAAAAAAAAAACATAATAAAAAAAAAGCTTCTAAAATGTTTTATTCTCTGTTGTTTTTGTTCCTGACAGGTCCGTAATGTCACGGTCGATGGAGGTTTTGGTGCTTGGTCAGGCTGGTCCGCCTGCACCCACAACGATGGAGGCAGCGCAGGGGCTTGTCTTTGTCGAACACGAGCCTGCGATAACCCCGCCCCTCAATGTGGTGGCCAGAAGTGCTATGGGATCAGTGTTGAAGTTGCCAACTGCTCCAGGTATATTATTCAAGTTCTAGTTCTCCTCACTATCTTTGAAAACAGATTTCCTGTTTGCTCACATTCAGTCATCCAGGATCAACACCATATAATTGTTCAGTGTCAGATTTTCATTATGTTTTTCCGGGTTTTCAGTAATAGGATGGATTTTGGAGATTTATGAATCTTCTTCATTTAAGGTTCAACACTCGAAGTTAAATGCTGATTTTAAAGAATGCTGATTTCAAGTGATTCTGCAGGGTTGATCATCCTAGTCTTATTACAGATCTGCAGTTTTTAAGACAACTACAGTAGTAGCCCCTTGATGGGCCCTTGGCTGGTCCCCTAAAATTCCTCTTTAAACATCAATCACAAAGATTAAAATATTCTTTCTGTCATGATTTGTGGGCATTAAGATCTAAAGGCAAGCGTCATCTCCTGGTCAGACCCTGTAATTCAGTGGAAGGGTGGAGACGGATTAAAAAACTGTGCATGCCCAGGAGAAGGAGGGGGTCACTCCAGAGGGTGGAAGTTGGAGGGAATTTTGCTGGGAGTTGGAGGGAAGTGGGCTGCCATGTGGCTGGCATTGGATGGGGAAGGGCCATTTTGACTGGCTGCTACTGTAGCCATGGCAACAGGATAAACTGACTGAGGTGTTAACGTTTTTCCTTATAAATATCTGTAAGGTGCCTTGTGTTTCTCAATAATCTAATTAAAGTATGTTAGGATGTACCATGCATTAGAGTTCTTTAGCGTTCCATTGTGCGACTATTAATTATAAACGGTTTTGCTCATTTGAACCCTATTTGATTATCTTGTCAGTTTATAAGGAAAGAGTTTGAGTCACAGTTACAGCAAAATATCAGAAAAATAGATTAAAGTTCAGGTATCTCAAAAGACTGCGCAATCTCTGCCTTTAACAACCATTGTGTGAATTAGGATTCTCATAGAAGCCCGGTCCCTGAAAATGTTAAATAGAGCATTAAAATAGTTAACAATATCAATCTGGCTGTTCAGTGGTCAACATAGTAAAAGGCTGTGAGACTGTTAGACTCGCATAAAATTATTCATTATCCTTGTTTTTTGTAACACAGAATTTTGTTATAAATTAGATGTGTTCCAAATAACCAATAAACTGTGCAATTTCTAATTACGAAAAATACTTTACTGGTTATTTGGTGGCCTTGAAATTATTACATTTCCAAAAAAGTGAATGGACATACTTTTTTTTACATCAGACCATTCACATGTGATTAGCAGTAGGAACTCACTGCCTCGTAACCAGAAGAAGTTGAAGGAAGATGGTGCAACATATTTTTGGATTCATGAGGAAAACGAGTATTTTTCGCATTTAGTTCACAATGTTGATCGATAAGCTTTAGAACCATGGCAATATCTCATGTAAGTGTTTACATCCACCGCAGCCATGTTATTTTCAAGAGCTATTGTGTGAACAAACTTGTGTCTTATCACTTTTATTTATCTGTGTGGTACTATGTGACATCTTTTTCTGAGATGTATAACTACAGCTTGATTAACACAGTTTTTTTTTTTTCTCCATTAAATATTCATAGTAAGTTCCAGTTAAATTTCAAAATTCTCCTTTTCATGGAAAGAATCCATTATTTAATGTATGTCTGGCTAGGTTCTGACTGATGTTGTTTTGTTAATCACCACAGAAATGGAGCTTGGACTCCCTGGACCTCCTGGTCGCCTTGCAGCACCAGCTGTGGCATAGGCTTCCAGGTGCGTCAACGCTCGTGCAGTAACCCAACCCCTCGCCATGGCGGTAGAGTGTGTGTAGGACAGAACCGTGAGGAGAGGTAAGAACTACAACGGTGTTCTTATGTGGTAGTGTGCAAAAGTTTTACATCTTGGCAGAAATCTTCATTGAAAGCTGAATTGACCTGTGACCTTTAAGGGTAACAGAGAGCTTTTCATTATAACTTTTCTCCAAAATCACTTTAAAAGAGTGGAAGTAGGACTAGAGCTTTGCAAATAATTGTATTTAAATTTCCAGGTTATGATGCATACAGGGTTAACAAATTTAGTTTCCTGATGTAAAAGAAATACAAATAAAACAGCAATTCTTCTCTTTTTAACCTGCAGTAAGGAATCATACTTTGGTCACGACTTAGTTTTCCCTATTGGTGCCCTTTTATATGTTCAACTCTTTGACAGCCACTTAGAGAAGATGCAAGGTGGGATTGTGCCTTGATAATTATCCAGTTTTCAGAGACAAGCAACTTCATAACTCAAAGTTTTAGTGTAGAAGAGTCAGCCTTTTTAAAGATGCTTGTATTTTCAAGTTTCGAAAAAAAAAGAATGAAGGGGGAAATCAGGTGAAGAAGCAATAAGAGATGTCAACAAAGCAACACCACTAGAAAAGGTCAGGGCCTTTTTGTTTTTTTTTCCACTTGGTTTGCTCTAGATGTCAAAAAAAAAATTTTGTCCACTCTTGGCTGAATTTAAGAACAATTCTAGCAAAAGCTTTAGAGGTGTGTACTGTTTTTAAACAAGCAACATTCCTATTATTTTGGATGACTTTTGAACCCTGATGCTTTTTAATACCTTTTTACCCATATTCTTTGTTACTACACAGCAAAAAAAGGTTTTTATTTTAGTCCTTCTTCCCTCCCTTCTCTGTTGCCTGCTTTTTTTCAGTTTTCTTCCGGTTTGTGGGTTCTGGCATACTTTGGCTCTGTATTCTTTTTGTTGTTTTTTGTTGAATGTTAGGGTGGCTTTAGATGCGTGGTAAATTTTTTGGTCCTTTTTTTGGTTGTTTGTTTTTTTTTTAACTTCTTAAATGTGTTGATTATTTGCTGTTCAATTTGTGGTCTTTTGGTTTTTTTTTTTTTCTTTTGTTTGGCTTTTTTGATGTTTTTATTCTGCTCTTTGTCAGTGTTTTCTCTCCGGTCTTTTTCCGCTCGCCGTTTCCGCCGCTTATAGTGCTGTTTTCCTCTTGCTTCAGCCCTTCTGTTTCGTGTCTTGTTTCCTTAGATGTTTAGTTTCACCTTTTTTAGTTATCTTTTTTTTTCCTTTTTTTTTTGTGTGTGTTGTGTAATGTTTGTATTTCTTTTGAGGCTTCCTGTGGTTTTCTAAGTATCGGTCTGTTTTTGTTCATCTGTTTGCCCGTTCGGGGATTATAGTGACAGGCGTTGGCTTGGTTGCTGTCCCATTCTAGTTACTGCTCACCTGGAGGTGGAGCCACTTTCTGGCTTGCTCTTAATGCTTTCGCTGTGTGGCAGGTGGTTGTTAAAGATCCTGGTGTGGATCCCAGTGAGCTCAAGACCCTACCAGGCACTCAGACAGGTCCTGTTGCCTTCCTAGGGTTGGCTGCCTTTAGCATACTTCTTACCTGATGTTCCTTTAGCGTGAGTGCGTGGGTGGTAGAAGTTAGAAGAGCAGGTAACAGATGTGTTGCAGGTCTGTCCGCTTCAAATCTGGATAAAAAGTGGTGTAACCGCTCTGCCACTGAGGCTTCAGCATAGCTGGACCTGGTGACAGTGTTTCCTTTGTAGTTTGTCGGTGTTTGTATTCCCTGCCACACGCTACAGAGATCTTTATGCATCAGGTGATCTTTCACTGTCTTTTTGTAGGGTTGTGGGCTTGCAGGATAAATAAAAGGGATAAGCCATACTGTACGTGTGTATCTGTGTGTATAGCTCAGGGTTTTTGTTTGTTTGTTTTTACTTTTTTACAGTGCAGAATGCACATTTGTTTCCCAGCAGAGTACTGTAGTCGACTACTCAGGCTTAGAGGTGCTCATTGTGTTCATCAGCAAGAAAGCCTTTGTGGCAGGTTATTTTTTGCAATTAATGCAGCATAGCACATTGCTTAGGGTTGGAGTCTAAGAAATCTCTGACTATGATGCATAGGTTCAGCAAAGATTTGTCTCCTTTCCAAATCCTTGCATTGGGTGCCACACCATTTTCAAAATTCTTTGTATTTAAACCTGTAAATAGTCTGACACCTACATACCTACCTGAGCTGATTCTCTCCTCGAACAACCTACATATCTCTCAGATCAGCTTATCGGCTGTGTACCCACCGTACACAGCAGTGTATTCAGAACCTGGTCTAAGCTCAGAGAGAATGCAAGCATGTAAGTCAAACAGAGGATGTGTAAATAAATATGTGCTTCGATCCCTGCATTCACTAGAAAAACATTTGTTCAGCCTTTGTTATCATGGCCGAAATATTCCACCATATCTGTTATTTGAAGTCAGCCATGTATGTAATCAGGGACAATAACAAGCACAGGGATCAGTCTGCATGTCATGAGGGACTGGCTTTATGTCCGCTTCCCTTAAAAAAAGTTTTTTTTTTCTGTTATGAAAATCTTGTTCTTTCGCCAGTCCCCCTTCAAACACATTCAGGTTGCTCACTTAATACTTGTTTTGAATTGGTGCCTCAAGTTCCCCATTCAGATGTAGACAAACACACAAGCTGTATGTCAATACATGAAGCAGTATACAGACAAAGTCAAATGCAAAAGAATATTGAAGGGGAAAATGTTAAACCTCCTTTTTAAGGCTCTTTGGTCTTTTGCCAAACATGCTTCTGATAAGTTCAGTCCCAATTGTCTGCAGCAGCAAAAACCTTTAAAGTTAGGGCAAATGCTATGAAAGTGAGCACACACAGCAGCTCTGCTGGCTTAAATCTGGATTGTTAATGCCTGCATTTATGAACCTTCTGTTGGCTTTTCCCTCAGCACACTGACAGCGTCCACGCTGCTTACTCAGCCTATACCGGGTAATTAGCCCCGTTTTTCTCTGATCAGCCCTGTGTGTTTAGAGGAGAAGAATAAGTATAAGACAAGATGGAGTGAAGCCACTCACTTGTGTGATTAGTGTGTGTATGAGGATAATTCTGAAGCTTAAGTTAATCTCGGCTGCCTTGATTGCTGATGTTTTTATTGTATTATTGCGGTGCATCCCTGCAGGGATATTTTGACCACATAAAAGCCTTTTATCACAAATGTGATTCTGAGTGTGCATTGGACAGATTTTATTCAACTTGTCCTCACTTTGCCACTTTCTCACTCTGGCATGTATCAACCCACTGACACAGTGAAGATTGGTGGAGCAAAAAGCCACTCAGAAGATTCCCACATTCAGACAGGAAAATATGTCTTGTTTGAGTTGCTATGAATAGTGATGAAGATTTGGGAATACTGCCACAGAAATGTTCAGCTTAACTGAGTCTGAGGAGGAAATGGTGCAGCTTATTGACCAAAGCTTATTTTGAGCATAAGAATTCAAACTCTCACCACAGCACAAAGAAAGACAGCTATTAAAGCTGTTTTATAGCTGTTGTAAAAGCTGCAAATAAACTAGATGGTTCTAATAAGCCTTGCAAGTTTCTGTTGATAAATTATAATGAAAACTAAGCAATTAAAGTATTTTAGACATTGCTGTAATACTGCCTCGTAAAACAATGTAATTAAAGATGATGCATGTGTCTCCTGGGCGTTTATGAGCCTATGTCAATGAGTTATGCAAACAATCATTTAGACTTGTGATATATTTTTCCTTTTCTGAACTTTTTGAACTATATGGTTATAGCTTTATGCGACAAGCTGAGTCCCTGGTGGTTTAATACATTCATATGCTCAGACATGGACCATGCGTATTCCTGGCTATGAAAGAAGTTTGTTTTTGTTTAAGAGTACTGTTTTTGCAGAATCCTTTTTAAATTCTCAGTCAATTCAAAAGGATTAGTGGGGTAATAACCACATTGTTCTCAAGATTTAATGGTAATTTTAGATTAGGATAATTTTCCAAAAAGAAACAGTCAAATTAACTTGTTGTTTTTGGCTTATCAGATATTGAGTAGTAGAATGAAGATATCCAGCATGAGTTGTCTGACTTTTATCTCTTCTGCCACAACTTTCTAGTCCTGCAATCCTTTAATGAGTTTTTCAGTCCCTATAAAGCAAAAGCTAGAGCTGTGTCTGTATTTTCGACACAAAGTCAAGCTTGTATACAGGTCAGGAAACACTCTATGCCTTGTTGTTGATTTGCTTATTTGTTTTCTTGGATGGGATCCCATGATGTAGTAATGAACAGATGATTCTCTACTTTGATCATCTCGTGGTCTTTTTAATGCAGATGATGAAATTATGTAGCAGCCTACCAGCCAATACTTTTAATGTTCACTGGAGGGGTTTACAAACCAGTGTGAAGTGCAAAGGATTAAAGTCCTCCCCTAAGCCTAAGGCAATCCCCATGAGCATTTTCTTAAAATGATGGGGAAAAAAATGTTTCTTTAACAGGGAACTTCTAGAACATATCTGTTTTGAGTTTGTTTAGATGGGCTCATGAAATCTGACTTAAAATCTCTTGGGTTATGACTGGCTAACTAAATATGAGACATTTCCAGCACCCTTTTTTCTTTGCTAAATAAAGGGAAGAACGCAGAGCATATACAAAACGAAATATTGTTTCATACAATTTTCATAACATTTCCATTCACTAAAGTGCAGCAGTGGTCAAATGCAAACCGGAGACCAAATGCCGGAGAAGAAAACGGATTGATATGGATTTTCAGAGCATTAAATATATATGGTGCGAATATGCAGAATTTTAGATTGGACACTAGTATCTCACATTTAAGAGAAAGCAATTTGCTACAGTATGTTATAAGTTTGCTGTCAACACACACAGAGTTATACTCTGTCTTGACATTATGTAACAGGAATGTCTACATTGTAGACAATAATAATCAAGTGAAAATGTAAGCAAAAACAGAAAAAATGATACATATAAGCTTGGACTAACAAAAAAGGAATGCATTTTTTTCTTCTGCCGTATTACACCTAAGTGCAATAACATGCAATATATGTTAGTTGAAATGCACATAAAGCTCTCACAGGTTTTTTTTTTTTAAACTGTTGCACCAGCAACCAGACCATTAAAAGGATTTTTTTTCTTTGTTTGTGCTCTGGAAATCAATGTTCCACATCTATAAGATAGCTCAACAGCTTTGCTTTCACAACATTAGGGTCGTTTCCATAAGGTTCTGCTTGGTACTTAAATATGAAGCTTTATTGAAAATACTGAGTTGAATCATATACAACTGAAATGGAAAGGGAGGTGAAAAAAGAGCTAATGGGAGAGAGACAGAGATGGAGACAGCAAGGTTCACATTAAAAGAGAGAAAATAAAACAAAACAGCAAAAACGGACAACACAGACGATCTACAGTACCTCCTAAAAAGTCTGCTCCCACACCTGTATGAGATGAGTGGGAAAGAAAACAGAGAACATCCCAGGAAAGAGAAGACAACAGTCAACCAAAGTAAACATCAAGAAAGCTAGTTAGTTTAGATAGTTTTGATTTGTATGAAATGTTCTTGAAATTATCTTTTTTGAAACACAGTTCCGGAATTGTCACACCCTAGGATTTAATGATCAAATGGGCTAAACCAAAGAAAAACTGTGTCAATAAATATCCAGTATTTAGCAGGGTGAAAACATTTGTCCTTAGTTGTTCCATAATCTAAATTTAATATCCAGAGTAAACATTTTGTTGCACACATCTACAAGCTGACAAAGATGTTTACTTTATTCAGAGATAACATAGTTTCTCAGAAGCAAATCAATTCTGAGTAGTAGATTTCATATTTCCTACTGATATTATATTTTTATGCTTTCAGAGATAATGATTTGATGTTTTAGTTGTTTTTTTTTTTTTTTGTTGTTCATTATTGATTTCCATTTAGAAAGTTCATCTTGTTCTCAGTGTGATAGCTTGAATAAAGAACTAAACTTATCCTTTGGTATAATTTACCATTTTCCCCTTAAGGTACTGTAATGAACACCTGCCCTGCCCTCCTCATGTGTACTGGTCGGCCTGGTCGTCTTGGGAACGTTGTAATGTGCCCTGTGGCGGAGGCATCCAATCACGACGTAGAACCTGTGAGAATGGCGATGACTGTCCAGGGTGTGGTCAGGTATGTCTGGCAAAGTTATGCTATTTTTCCATGATCTTTTACTTGCTTTCCTCTTTGGCTATTAGGACACTTGATTCTAAACCATTTGATCTAAGGAACACCCTGAAGTGATGAAACTGGAACAATGAACATGACCAAATCCCCCAGCTCTATTTTACAGCGCTGCCAAGCCATCAGATTTATTACCAAGACCTATTTAATGAAACATACACACAAACAGACACACATGCATTTAGTAGTCACTATGCATATGAATAGGCTTATTTTCCGCCACAGAGCTCAGATGATGCAATGCAAGGTTGAAATACAAGCCTTGATGAAAGAATGATGTGACACTTGGGTTATTTCTGGTTTCTGTTTTCCATATACACATTCCCTTATCCACAGTCCTGGTAAGAATGAGAGGGAAGGAACATGATAGTTTCTCACATCCTACTCAAAAGTGGATTAAAGAATATGGGTCAGGGCCTTGTGGATATACAGGATGCTTAAAATGTATTTTTGTCTGCAGATTTTCTTTGAAAAGTAGTAGAGACTTGGTTGTTCATTGGTTAAGGGGGGGAGGATTATTTCAACTGTAAATGCAGGATTTACATTTGCACTTTAAAGTCCTTATGTGGAGTTAAAGAGTGAATTGAGGCTTTTATATTCTTGGATGGCACTTACAATTCATTGAAAAAATGTCTCCCTTTATAGATTTCTTTAGTTCTACCTGTGGATGAGACTTAAATGTTTCAAATATTGAAATTAATTTGGATCTTAAATATATAGAGTGAATATGAAATAACACATTTTCAAACGAGAACGTCATTTATTAAAAAAAAAAAGAAAAAAAAAAAGAGAAATATAAACCAGCTTGGCCTCAACGGAAGAGGTAATGGGCCATTAAGTGTTTTCTGTGTCTGGTAATGAAATGTTTTACTTTAAGATGTTTTCTTGTTATTTTTTTATTCAGTAGCGTTATAGTGTTATAAAGCATGGTCATTCAGAGTAGACATGCTGGTGAGACATTATCTGGCTGCATTACACAGTAATGCATTATGCAGTAAACCACTCAGAGAACCAGGGTTAAAGTTTTAACAGGTTTATTGATAAGGTAAGCGGGGGTTGGATTCAAGAAACTCAGTGTGCTGGTGAACCGGAACTGGAAGAGGGAAGGGAAGTATCAGTGGTTAGTTCAGGAACTGTGGGAACTTTGAATAATGGCGGGAGATACAGAAAAAACGGGACTCACGTTAGTGGAGAAGACTTTCTTCCGAGAATCCAGTAAGTGTGGGTTTATCCAGAGGTAGAGATTCATTGGAGGGCGGACAGGTTAAGACTTTGTTGGATCCTGAGGAGCTATTGAGCGGACTATCACTTGGAAATCCAGGAGGACTAGAACGGAACTGTTGGAGATTAATCCCCTGCTCAGTGTGAAACTCAAACAATCCTTCCAAGGAAAGAAGGCCAAACATCCAGCTTGCAGGAAGGCCAAAACTGGCAAACACTCTGGCGTTGAGGTAGTGACAGCCCACTGCTCAAATAGTCCTCAGTAATGAGCCAATCAGCCGCAGGTGTGTGGGAAGACCAACGAGAACCGGGTGCCACCTGGCGGTGGAGGGAGAGAACAACACAAAAAACACAACCCACACAAACTGGATTCCTAACAATAGGAATCAAAGGAGCATCACAGACAAGTTTTACTGTTTTTATGAAGCTCAGTGTGCAATGTCATTACACCTCCCTAAGGAAGGAGGAAAATAGGAGAATGGGCCCGATTTTGCAAGCACCGATCGGGTTCTGAGAAAATATAAAAAGATTTAAAAAAAAGGAAGAAATTCAACAAGTCACTACTGGGATTGCTGGATTAATTCATCAGGCCTGTCAGAGACAGACTATCTTAACTACCTGTCATGAACAGTTTCTGTGCATTAGGCTTTTTCACCCTTTTGAGTTACTGTGCAATTAAAATGTTTATAGCTATAAAGAAAATTGAAAGCGTTCCGAGCTATTTGTGTCAAAGATTATAAGATGCCAAAAATATAGTGACTGTGCTGACCTGATTTATAAAGCGTCTTCATTTCATCCAACAGTGACATGAAGTGATTTAATTCCAAGAGCTGATTGTTGTGATATTTATGGACCATATGTTCATGTAGCTATAAGTTTTCCTAGATAGGTGGTGCATAAAATTTAACATGCGCCAGTCATACTAAAATGGGTCACGCATAAATCCACCTCTTTTTATGTGTTATTACGCGTCCATCTCAAAGAGCAGTGCCTTACTAATTTCAAATTGGCTCAGGGCCTAACAGCCTACCTGCACGGCCCTCCGTACAGTACTTCTGGTGTTTCTCTGGATTCCTTTGCCATCTCCTTGATACATGCTCAGTTTAATTTTTAAATTACTTTGGTAGATGGATTCCACTGTTCTGCGATTTCTACTGTTTTCTTCAATTGTTTCTCCAATCTCACATGTTGATTACATACAAGCGACATATAGCTAGAATCCAGCCAGAATCATCCTGGCATAACACATTTTTTTAGCATCTCAACTCATAACCACAGATCTGATTTTTCAAACATGAGGATATCCCAATAATCTTTTCATTTTTAATCCCAAAAGAGAATACTCGTCCTTTCTTGTCACTTTTTTTTATCATTTGTTACATAGATCTGCAGTATAAAGTGAGCAGTTTATTCCAGAGACAGTTTTTAGAGGTGTCAAGCAACTGAAGGTCAAACACAGTGGAAACCTTTCTCACTACACTGAAATATTGGCTTGATTATGTCTTTCTTCTTAGTTTTGGATGCTTGGGTTTGTGTCCCCTTTACCTTTGTTTTGTTTTCTCATCGGCTCCTTGTCATCTTCCATTGTGATATGTGCTTAATTAGGTCGGTCTGAGCCAGTGGAGTGGTAATTGGATACAGACTTCACAAACACCCTTTTGTGTGGGGGAACTTGAGACAGCTTTGGTACCTCAGTATAGCTGCTTATTCGCTCCAATCAAAGAAACATTTTATTAAATGTATTTTACAATATTATATTAAAGGTAATTGAGATAATGATGAGCAAATACATCAGTTTACTTCAAGAGAGCCAACGGAAATATTTGATACTGATCAGTTAGCTATGGACTACAATAGATTTATCTGTTTAAATATCCTAAGAATAATGAGAAAAGTAAAAATATGTCATATCAATTAGATAAGGCCTGCAGAGATTGTGACAAAGGGACTATTTTAAATTCCATTTATTTGATTGAGTATAGATCAGTAGCTGCAGATATTTTTGCATCTCAGTTTGTAAAGGCATATGCAAAAGAAGGGTCTACACTGGGTGGCTGAATTGCAAACACAAATCATTGCTTTGAAGATCTACTCCGCACATACAAAGATGTTTGCAACTGTTTTAAGACAGAGAGAATCCTTGTAAAGATCAGGCCCATTCAGTTTCATGACTGCACACTGATGTTTGATCCTTTTAGGACATCTCAAGGTAGCTGACTGATTGCACTGGGCTTTATTTAGGGGTATCCAAATAAATAAAATCAGAGACCTGCAGCAATTTTATTTGAATAGGTTGTTATTTAGTTTAAAGATCCTAATGATCTTTTAGGTTGACAATGCTGTATGGAAATGTGTTTGTGTAAACATGCCTGCTCATATTACTACCATAACATCCACCTGTGTTGAGCTCTAGGTGGCTGAAAGACACTAGCAGACACAGATAAAACACAACAATCTTTGTGTTTTGAATTGTCAGAGAAAGAATTTAAAAGGTCCACACATTTTGAAACTTTTTGGAAGTGGATGTATGATGTGAATTCTTTTTACCAACATCTTTTTAATTCCTCATACATTCTCCACTGGGAGCTCCCACCACAACAAAACAAAGACTAGCTGAAGTGAAACTCTGGTTTAAAAAGAGGTGACACTACTCACATTGAACAACCTTACTGTGTCGAATACTTAATGCTGTAGCATGCATAATTAAAGGGACAATGTTGTGCGATTGATTCCTTTCACATATTTTTAAATTTTTGTGCCCACAGATCTAAGCTGCAGTGCTTTGTAAACTTCATTTACAGTAAGATTGATATATTGATGCAAGAGAGAACATGAATTTACCTCCAGTCACCTCAGACTAGTTCCCTGGAGCAGTGACACATTGCTCTGTATGCAGTCTTCGTATTGACATAAACAATTTTGCATGTGATTCTCTTACAATGATGCACTGAGAGAGTTAGGGATGAACATGTACCTTATATGCTTTACATAAAACCCCATAGTTTCCTTTCTGATTACTAAGGAAATATGGTGCAACAAAGAAAACAAGGTCATTAACTTTTAGATAAAGCAAGGAAGAACAAAATTTTTGTGTAAAAAGTGAATCAGTTTTGTTTAATGATTTCAAAAACAATTTTAAAAAGCAAGGCAAAAGTAAGTATTCTACTGTCTAGAGGGCATAATCAACTGAATGTCAAAGATAACCTTGAAAATGTTGAAAAGGGAGTTGATATGGGGGAAGCGGAAGTGCGGAGGTTAAACGTTCAACCCATCTACTGAGGCTTTGGTCTTAAACGCCACCGTCACAGGTTCACGTCTCGGCCTGATATCCTTTGCTGCAGCTCTTCTGCCTCCCTATTGTCCCATTTCCTGTCTGTCTGCCAACAAAAATAAAGGCCATTACTGCCTAAAAATAGTCTTTAACCCAAAAAAGGAATAAATGGAGTGAAATGTGATAGGAAAGAATATTCATTTATGTAAACACTTATTTAAAATAGCTGGTTAATCTGTACTTGCAGACCAGGTGTGGTTGTTATCTCATTACCTTCCAGCCTTATTCTGTCTATTTTAGGCAATTTTGACTGCATTTGAGCATCTAAATTTGAAACAACAGACAGAACTAATATGAACTGGACTGAGGGTTAAACTGCACAATATATTGGCTTCTAAACTTTCACAATTTCAGTGTCTGCAATGTCACAATCCAAAACTGGCTGAATAAAATGTTA